ATTATTCAAAAATTGTGTATGTCCTACTGTGTGCACCGATTAGGACTTTAGATGGATTTCATATTTCTAATGTAAGCAATATTTTTCGCTGTGGAAATTTCTACAGAATAGTTATAGGTATGACTGAGCAGGTCACAGTAGGACAGGTAGATAACAGATTCAGTTTAGTGCTCTTCCTTGGCTGAATATCATTCTCTTCCATCAAAACATGCTTTTACATACATTAGCGGTGGCCATATGTGCATGCATTCTCTTTGAAACATTGCTATCCTAGTATTTCATGAAAGATAAAAATAAATTTTCACGAGACATTTCTTTTTCCTATTGGAATGTTGTGTTTCTTTCCTTCCTTTTCAGTCCTCTCTTCCTTGACAGAGGAGACTTGGTGTCAAATCTCAGAGTGGTTGTCATCCTCTTCCTCAATAAATTTCCATAGTAGAATTCCTTTCCAGTTTCAGACTGGTTGTCATTCTCTTCCTCAACCTTCCGTCCATTCTCATAGGACACTTCCTGTCCAATTTCAGACTGGTTGTCATTCTCTTCCTCAACAGAATTCCATCCTTTTCCATAGGACACTTCCTTTGGTTGCCATCCTTTCCTTTTGATACCTTTATCTTTATGTATTTGCCCCCAAGAATCAGTAACTACAGACATTGTGATATATACTTCCATTCCCTGCTCGGATGTATTCATGATACACTTGTATCATTTTCCATACAAGAATGCACTGTCTCTATAGAGCCTTACTCCATATCTTCTCAATGAGATTTGTATCTTTCTCAAACATAATTTTCCCTACTTAACTGTTGATAAGTACTCCTTTAATTATCTAAGAAATGTCTGCAAACAGTCACATAAACCCATTGAAACAGTACTTTTAATGCACACTATGGAATTTATGAGGTTTAGCCTGGTTCTGATTATATCCGTACAAATTGCATCCTACAAATCTGGTCTACAGTAGAATCTACAGATATAATGGCTTGATTTGATGTGAACTTTTACCACATTGCAACCCTGTCTGTTAACAATCATCTTCCGTTATCTCGTGGCCATTGAAACATATTAAATGACTAGACACACAAAAAAGAAATTGTAAGGTGAAGTATGTGAGTGTTTGTCTTTTAACCTCATTGTTTGTTAGTTATAATGGAAGTGATTTGCACACAGAGCTTAATTTGATATGTGAGAAAACAGGTGATTTTATTCTGGTTTCCCTTTTAATGTCTGGAATTGTTTGTTATAACCAGATAATTATACTGTATTAACTATTAAGTCGTCAGTATGCTTATGTAGCGATGATCATGTTACGGTAAATTCCTGTAACTTTTGTAGTAATAATTGTGTTACTGTAAATTCCTCAAACATTTGTGGTAATAATGGTTTGAAGGTAAATGACTGTAACTTTAGTGGTAATAATTGTTACGATAAATTTCTGTAACTTTTGTGGTAATAATTGTTACGGTACATTTCTGTAACTTTTGTGGTAATAATTGTTACGGTAAATTTCTGTAAATTTTGTGGTAATAATTGTTATGGTAAATTTCTGTAACTTTTGTGGTAATAATTGTTACAGTAAATTTCTGTAATTTTTGTGGTAATTATTGTGTTATGTATAAACTGTAAGATAGTTATACTGCATACAATAGGTTAAGGTCAAAAAGTTATTCAACAATGTTTTGGTATATATACTTTCTACAATATTCTGATTTGCACTGTGTTCTGTTGACCCTTTCAGATTCAGAAAGGTTAAATATAGTCCCTAAATATCACAAGCATCATTAGTATTAACCCCTGATTTATAGGATTACTGTATAGTAAGTGAAGCAGTATGATGATGCTACTTTCAATACCAGTGGTGGTGCATGGCCACTTTGCTGTAAAGCTAGTGGTTTTCGACGGTTTCTATTCCATCATTTTCAAGAACAGAATAAAATGTTGAAAAAAAATTCTAAAAAATTTATCTGAGAGAACAGCTTGTGAATTTGATAACCTCAATGAACATTAAATTTTAACCAGTATGAATAATGTTTTGTTTGAAGTGTTATTTTCACTGCTTGAATGATCAGATTTTAACAGGGAGATAACGGGGATCTTTGATGAGTATCAATGTGATATAGAATTTGTTGAACAAGTGCAATTATTTGACATTTCTCGAACTTTTAGGTAGGTAAAATATCAGATTATTGAACAAGTTTAATAAATTCTATATTTCACCAATGCGAGTGTATAAGATTCTATTTATCAAATAATATGTGATTCCAAGAATTAAGGGAAAACTCTCCATTTAATATCCCTGTAAGAAAACTTCTTTCTTTCACATTTGAGACAATCTAATAACATCATCAAGATGTGACTTGTTTATTTTGTGTTCTTGCAACATTTATGGCCTGGCAATATGACATAATACAACAGGCTGGTTATGTAATAAATATACTGTTGCCGAGTCCACACTGACTTCACTTAAGCTTGAATCATGTGAAAATTCACATAGTTGTAAAACAATAGTTAAAAAACCCCAGAAAGTTTAACGTAAAAATAGGTACGCAAATGCACTAAAACAAGGACAGTTGTTATAGTGTTTGAAACGAGAAATGAGTTAATAAACATGACGATCAATTAATAAAGAATACAAATTAACTTGAATGATCAGTATGAATATTTACTGAAAGGAGTATAGACGCCTTAAAAACAGGCTTTTATATCAAGACAATGATTCACTCCTCCATGTCTGTGTCAAGATTTTTTTCTATCTTGGAACAGAATGAAATTAGCAGTTTCAGTTCAAGTGTAGTGGCAGATAACCTTGCTGTTGGTTTTAATTAACAACATTAAATGATCATCGCTGTAATCTTCAGAAAGCCATTAGGCCCACAGATATCATTCTAGTGTTGAAATTGCAGGTGAACTTTTCCATTACAGGGGTGTAGGCCTATCTCCATATGTACTTTTACATAATCACATCATTGTACTACTGCAGGTTCTGTCACAAAAAAAGAGAGATGGGCATACTTGAAACCTGTAAGCTCTATATGGAGAAGGGTGGGGTTGCTGGAAGATTGTAGGTTTTATGAAAAGAGACATGGGCTTTCTGTATCTGTAGGCAAATGGATGGAATTTCTTAAAAGCTTTAGATCCAGTTGACCAAGGGGTTGTGAGTTCTATATAGAAGAATGGGTTTTGCTGTAAAGCTGTAAGTACTATGAGAAGAGTGGGGTTACTGTATGTCTTAAAATTGTAGGCTCAGTTTCAAAATGGATGGAATTTCTGAAAAGCTTAAAGTCCTGTTGACCAAGGGATGGGGTTGCTGTGAAGCTGTAGGTACTATGAGAAGAGTGGGGTTGCTGTTAGCATCTGTAGGTCTTCTTGATCAGAGAGATAGGATAACTGTAAATCTGCAGATCCTGTTTCAGAGAAAGTTTGGGTTGCTGTATCAGTAGGATTTTTGAAGAGAGGGGTACTTGGAGCTGTAAGTTCTGTTGAATAGAGGGTGGGAATGTTGTAATACTGCAGCTTAGGATGAGAGATGGGCAGACCTGTATGTGCTGGGAGTTCCCAGTGGAAGAATGAAGGGATGAGGTTATTGTAAATGTGCAAGATCTCAGCAAAGGGAGGAAGGCTGTAAGTTGTAAGAGGAAAGGGTTGCAGTTATTTCAAGTTTTAGGGGTTAAAGCTTATCACAGGACAGTAATTTTGGTGAATAGGCTTTTTTGTATTTTAAATGAAGGAAGTTCTGAGCAGATCATGATATGATGTATGAGATGAAAAGCTCCAAAGGTCATATAAATATGATGTCAACTGATGTAGAGGGGTTGTGGACAAGAAAGATTGCACATCATTAAATACTGAACATCTTTACAGTGAAATCCTAAAAAGTGTCTTTTAAGCCAATATACATGGAATATAATTGATATATATATATATATTTGACTGTGACAACCAAGAAATAATAGTCCTGCAAAATTTAAAAACTTTACAGAAATCTGCACAGCTTACTATGTCTATGTCAGCAGTCGGTCTTCTGACAACTGGCAGACTGCTGTTGTCCAGGAAGTGAAGCAACAGTAGAGATAGGAGACAAAAGACAAGACCACCTCTATTTACACTGCTCACAACAGATTCATCTTTATTCTTCCTTTGAAGATAAAGAAAGTTACCATTATTGTTGACCGTAGAAATATTGTACTTGGGTAATATGATAGCTGGACTACTTTAGTTTATTCAGTTCCAACAGAGCAGCTTATTTTACTAAAAGTATAGAACAGGTGTATGTCAAGTACAAGTATATGTTCAACTGTTGTTAAATGAAATTTATTCACATTACCATTATTAAATTGCTCAGGACATGGTATACATGACTTAAATTTCACAATGTGAAGTATTGTTATTACCTTTTAGACTGTTAAATAAAGTAATGTCAGAATCAGGATAACACCACATTGACCCTTCAGCCTGAGTGAATGCAAATACCTAAAAACATTTATCAGGAGGTATATGTTAGAGAAAATAGCATGAAGGATGAAAATCATGTTCCCTAAAACTTCAACTGTTGATCCATATGTTATGTGATTTTGATAATTGCTGCTGTATATGTAAGTTTGATGTCAAGTTTCAGGTGACATTTGCAGCCTGTATTATATTTTGATGTATATTTATCCTAAAAATAAAAAGTAAAATACACTACAGGACAGTGATATAAACGTAAAGGTATTTCTCCTGATCTAGATGTGGGTGGACTACCTGGTATTTATTACACAAGGGGCTTCAATTACAATATATACCAAATATGGTATTTGAAAGTTTGTATTGATAGTATTTGATATATATTTGACACTATTTTGATAATATTATAATATTTCTGAAAAGGACTCCTATGTTTATATATTTCAGTGTTTTATGAATAATGGTCATGATTTCTTTTAATATTGCATTTTTCAGAACAAAAGCATATTAAAATTGATTTCGATTATTTTTAACTTGTTTTTTTGTATTTGTTTCAGACTGCCTTTTGGAAATGTATAAACATGACGGTTCCAGGTATGTATAATGGCTCTAAATATATCTGCATTCACAGCCAAACAAAAGGTCAAAACACTCTTTCCTACCCTCCTCTATCCATGTGAGAGTAAACGTTTGTGATCCTGTTATTTGTTTGACCCCCAGTGACCTGGAAAAGTTCTTTGTATAGTAGTTGATCCTAGTAACCTGGTTAAAGTGTTTTCCATTTTCCTTAGCAGGTCCATTCACAAACTGTTAAAGGGACTAGAAGGATTTGAAAAAATCTTATGTCTCAAGTAGCTATTATACTTAATAGATGGAAAATTGCAACAATATTAAGATCTCATTTTACAAATAGGCCTTTATAAATGATTTTACTGGCAAGAGAGTAAACTGGACCTGGGCAATAAGAAATTTTGACATTTTGAAAAAAAAAATAATAAAAAAATGATGTTTTGATCAGAAATATTTCAAAAATGAAAATTAGAATTTCTAACTACAATTACATATTTGAACATTAATTCAGTGAAATATTTACCTTCTATACAAAATCCATGTGAGTAGTCTTTATAGATAAAAACTGAACAATTTTTCAGTGTCATTATGATGGACAAGCATACATAAGTATAAGCTGTTCCCAATAGTCACTGTATTTGAGCAAACAATATATGGTACAATGTATAGTGACTTGATAGGTATTGGGAGAAGACTGGATCATTAGGTCTTTGGTCAGATAGATATGACAAACCCGAATTGTAATCAGATAGAAAACGTGGTGTGTCCTGTATCCAGACCATGGACAAGTCAGCTCTTATTGTACGGTAATATTGAAAATTTAATGATAAAAAATGATATTTGAGAAAGTCCTGATGAGTTTCTTTAGGAATTTGAATTTTATTGTAATTGGAAGTGAAACAGTAAGCTAACAAGTGTCAACGAATAGATTGGGTTTAGGGTGTAGTCTGATTGTGTTTGTACGGGGAACATGAACCTAATGGATTGCCAGTTAGACAAACATGGACAGTAAATACTGTGGACTGGCAGCCATTGTGTGACAACAGGGACTGTTTATATCTGGTTTTCTCAGGTCAGTCAGTCTCAATTTACTTGACAGTTGTGTTAAAATTCGGGAGGAGTGAAGCTCTGTTGTAGTGAAATGACAGTCTTCTCCTGTTCTAGGTAGGGAGACTAGACAATAATCATGAGATTTCTCGAGGTAGACAGATGAAATGAGTCTGCTGTGATAGGATCTAAGGTAGATAGATGAAATGGCAGTTCAAGGTAGAAAGACAATATTTTGTAGGGTCTGAATTAGACAAATGAAATGACGGTCTCCTGTTAAAGGGTCTGAGGTACATGGATGAAATGGCAGTCCTCTGTTCTAGGTGGAAAGGGGACAATAGTCTTGTAGGGTCTGAATTAGACAGATGAAATGCGTTAGTCATAGGGAGACGGATGATGTGGCTGTCCTTATGTCTTGGTAGAGAGAAGACAATTATCTTGATAAAGGGTCTGAGGTACATGGGTGAAATGGCAGACTCCTGTTAAAGGGTTTAATGTACATGGGTGAAATGGCAGACTCCTGTTAAAAGGTCTGAGGTACATGGGTGAAATGGCAGACTCCTGTTAAAGGGTCTGAAGTACATGGGTGAAATGGCAGACTCCTGTTAAATGGTCTGAGGTACATGGGTGAGGCAGTCTCCTGTTAAATGGTCTGATGTACATGGGTGAGGCAGACTCCTGTTAAAGGGTCTGAGGTACATGGGTGAAATGGCACTCCTGTTAAATGGTCTGAGGTACATCGGTGAGGCAGACTCCTGTTAAATGGTCTGATGTACATGGGTGAGGCAGACTCCTGTTAAAAGGTCTGAGGTACATGGGTGAGGCAGACTCCTGTTAAAAGGTCTGAGGTACATGGGTGAAATGGCAGACTCCTGTTCTAGGTAGAAAGTTGACAATAGTAGTCATGAAGGGTGTGATTATCTTCTTGTGTTATAGAGGGAGGAGACAATACAGTTATGTAGGGTTCAAAAGGTAGAGAGATGAGAGATGACACTTGTGGAGGTCCTGCTAATATTATTATAGGTTTAGGGAGGAGAGGTGACACCAAGATATGTGGAGTTTTAAAGAGGTTCCCTAGCTAAAACCAAATGCAATCGTGGAATGTTTTACTGTCTGAAGGGTATGAAAACAAACCTATTACTTAACCTGAGGTATTAGCGTGTCAGAAATATATTGAAAAAAAAAAAAATTTTGATAAAAATCTTCAGACTATGGGGCCACACAAGTATTAGAAAAACTCTGGTATAATTTCTAATTTGCCAAGTCAATATTGATTTTAAGCCAAGGAAAACAAATGCCACATTATGAAAAAGGATTTTCTTTTTTTTTTTTTTTTTTCTATCTGCGTTATTATGAATCAAATATAGATGTCTGCGGTGAAGTCGTACTTTATTGCTGGGAGTCGCCGGCACTCGATCAATACTTACATGAGGCAGTATTGATATTACTTGATATTGACAGATTACGAATGAAACAAAACAAAATCTGTCCACAGAAAATGTAAAGTTGCGTACTTAATCGTACATACTAAACAAGTATTTCTCTTCCTGATATGGATTATGATTTGTGGTTTGAAAAAAAAACCAAAATTTTCATGTGCTGTAAATATCATTGTTGGCCTTTTTCTCTGCACCCTCTGATACATTATAGAGATAGCAGTATGAGTTACATCACTATCATTGTGACAAAACTGACTCAAGCCTCATGTTTGCCTATCACACATCTAAATATTCTGTTATTCCAGAACCCTAAAGGTAAACTCAGACTGGCTTGACAAATTCCAAACTGCTAAAACTCAGACTTGACATTCAAAAACTGACACTTTGATTGAACATTCTAAATCCTCTGTACTTTGCTTGGCCATGATATTCAAAAACTCTCAAACTTCAGATGAACTTTCAAAATTCTAAAAAAAAGTCTGACTGAACATTTCAAATTCCTAAAATTTGGATTGAGCATTCCAAACCCCAAAAACTAAACGTAGACCTCATCAGATATACAGAAGCTAATCTAATTAAAATTAAGTTAAACTGCTAAACAGCAACACTTACTTCTAATATAGATATTTGTATCCATTGCACTTGCACAAAATGGTTCAAATTTGAATAAAACCAATTGCATGTATGATGGAAACAGAAGTGTTGAATGATTAAGGTGTGTATTTGGAAGGGCTTCTCTTCATGCGAAGTGTCTGTACCTACATGATGGACTGTTTTCTCCATTTCTGTCAGGGTTCTCTCTCTTAATGGTAATGCACCCATACTTTGGTGGTTTATAATTATTGGAATGTGATGCAGGCTGTCAGTGTGGAGTGGGAGGGTATCCAGTGTGATACAGGTTGTCAGTGTGGAGTGGGAGGATATGCAGTGTGATACAGGTTGTCAGTGTGGAGTGGGAGGGTATCCAGTGTGATACAGGTTGTCAGTGTGGAGTGGGAGGATATCCAGTGTGATACAGGCTGTCAGTGTGGAGTGGGAGGGTATCCAGTGGTATACAGGTGTCAGTGTGGAGTGGGAGGGTATCCAGTGTGATACAGGTTGTCAGTGTGGAGTGGGAGGATATCCAGTGTGATACAGGCTGTCAGTGTGGAGTGGGAGGGTATCCAGTGGTATACAGGTGTCAGTGTGGAGTGGGAGGGTATCCAGTGTGATACAGGCTGTCAGTGTGGAGTGGGAGGATATCCAGTGTGATACAGGTTGTCAGTGTGGAGTGGGAGGGTATCCAGTGTGATACAGGTTGTCAGTGTGGAGTGGGAGGATATCCAGTGTGATACAGGCTGTCAGTGTGGAGTGGGAGGGTATCCAGTGGTATACAGGTGTCAGTGTGGAGTGGGAGGGTATCTAGTGCGATACAGGCTGTCAGTGTGGAGTGGGAGGGTATCCAGTGTGATACAGGTTGTCAGTGTGGAGTGGGAGGGTATCCAGTGTGATACAGGTTGTCAGTGTGGAGTGGGAGGGTATCAGGTGTCAGTGTGATACAGTGTGATACAGTGTCAGTGTGGAGTGGGAGGGTATCCAGTGTGATACAGGCTGTCAGTGTGGAGTGGGAGGGTATCCAGTGTGATACAGGTTGTCAGTGTGGAGTGTGGAGGGGAGGGTATCCAGTGTGATACAGGTTGTCAGTGTGGAGTGGGAGGGTATCCAGTGTGATACAGGTTGTCAGTGTGGAGTGGGAGGATATCCAGTGTGATACAGGTTGTCAGTGTGGAGTGGGAGGGTATCCAGTGTGATACAGGCTGTCAGTGTGGAGTGGGAGGGTATCCAGTGTGATACAGGTTGTCAGTGTGGAGTGGGAGGATATCCAGTGTGATACAGGTTGTCAGTGTGGAGTGGGAGGGTATCCAGTGTGATACAGGTTGTGGAGTGTGGAGTGGTGTGGAGGATATCCAGTGTGATACAGGCTGTCAGTGTGGAGTGGGAGGGTATCCAGTGGTATACAGGTGTCAGTGTGGAGTGGGAGGGTATCCAGTGTGATACAGGCTGTCAGTGTGGAGTGGGAGGGTATCCAGTGTGATACAGGCTGTCAGTGTGGAGTGGGAGGGTATCCAGTGTTATACAGGCTGTCAGTGTGGAGTGGGAGGGTATCCAGTGTGATACAGGTTGTAAGTGTGGAGTGGGAGGGTATCCAGTGTGATACAGGTTGTCAGTATGGAGTGGGAGGGTATCCAGTGTGATACAGGCTGTCAGTGTGGAGTGGGAGGGTATCCAGTGTGATACAGGCTGTCAGTGTGGAGTGGGATGGTATCCAGTGTGATACAGGTTGATGGATAAACAGTTATAGGGAAATGATGAGATGTTTCAAATTATATGCTGAAGAATGGAATGGCTGAAAGGTTAGGCTGGAAGAGTGGGGGGAAGCAGATGAAAAGTTATTAGAAATACTAAAAATGATATAGATACTATGAAACAACCCGAAATGAAAACTTCCAAACTTACTGTTTCTGTGTACATTGTGATGTGTGTATAAAGCCCGTTGCT